TTTAACCCTTTAACCGCCAAGATTCTGAACTTTCAACTTACCTCCAGCGCCACGTCACTTTAGGTATAAGTTGGAACAGTGTTGGGAACACTTAATATCGATGCATATATTCTTTATTAATTAAAATCAATGTTTTATTTACCTACTTAATAAATAATCTAAAAATTTTCAATCTTCAAACGAAGTATACGAAAATGTGTATTCGGGAAATGGGCACGGCGTCGTCCGTTCTCCTGCTGGCGACGGTGACGATGCTCCACGAGCATGTCGTATTAAATTTAATAATTTCATGTAAACTTCTGAGCGGATTTCCGACAGTACGGTTTCCAGCTCAAAAGGTTTTAAAGATGCAAAGTATTCATTTCGTGGATCACTTGGTCTCTGATCAAAAACTTTTGCGTCACCATCTTCTAACTTTGCATAATGGACACATTTGGTTTTGACTGTGTTGATTTATTTGAGAAATAACAAAAACCCAAAAAAGGGCTTACAACACTAGTTGCATTGAGTGATAAATGTTTAACGTGATTTTACGGTGACGGCGCTAAGGCAACTCACAATACAGCGCTATAATCTCCTTGGCCGCACGTAATATTACGATGATGGCGACCGGCGATTGTCCGCACTAGTGCGGTTCTGCGTTATGAAATTTTTATATTATTGTTATAAATATTAAATAATTTTAAACTTAAATACATTTTAATTAGTACAAATACTTGCATCAAAGTAACACTATGGTTATTTTCTAATGAAAGTATACACTTTCATTGCAAATAGTGACAGTAATATCTATAGTGCCTTGTTTGTTCTTAGACAACCTATTAAGTATTTTTCGAATTCGCCCCATCCCTAGTACTCGTAAAATTACGTGATTGGCGATACAGATAATGGAGACGGTGACCACAATTTAATTAAACCTCAAATTTCACAGTATTTATCACTCAAAACATTGAGAAATATCCATAACAATAAAGATTATACCCTTCATCTTGAAATTGACACATTTTATATGGAGTTTGTGCACTATAAGAAGATTTTTAATAAAATAACGTGATTGTACGTATGTGGCGATTCGGACACAGCTTTAGAAAACCGTAATATTACGTTGTCGGCGGTTAAAGGGTTAAAGTTAGCTACGACTAGTGAATTTAGTTCTTCTAACTACGAGATTTATATCTAAATTACTTTATTTATTTTTTTGTCTTTTTTGTATATTTGGAAAACAACAAGAATGGAGATATAAGGATAAAGTAATAAATATTTTCATGCATAAAGGAGCCTAGTGCCAATTTTTCGTACAAAAATCTATTTTTATTCTTCACAATTACTTTTTTATGTTAAATATTGGCATTTTGGCAGACTCCTTGATCCACGTCTAACATTTTCATTATTAATTTATGAACAATTGAAATAAAATTTCAAGGATAAAGGCAACTTCTCGATGTCACGATATCGCAATCATGAATACGACTACATAACCAGGTACAAACTATTTAATTATAATTACATAGAATATTAGTTTTGTAACGACTGTGACCATTGGTATTATTACATCCATAAATATAGAAAATTTGATGATTAAAATATTAATTGTGTTTGTTTGTGTCAAAATGTAATATTCAACTTCGAATAGGTTCTTTACACATAACAATAACTTGGTATTATTATTAAAACAAAACTTCTGTTCACGGTACTTAAAAACTAAATGTAGTACCTATCATTATTTAATTTTGTACTTATTACCAGATTTAAATAAATCCTCTGTACTAGCCTACTTTAGGTCAAATAAAGTCTACATTATCTGTGAAAGAAAACATATACTAACCATAGACACAGGTGGTCTACTTGTCTATGGTTACATTTTGTAATTTTGAAAAAGGAATGTTAATATAAGAGACGTAAAGAACACAATATACTACAATCATCGTCAATAAACTACAAAAGTAGACGTCTAGGCGTTATAGCTCCATAATTATATTGATTATTTGTAGTTAAATTATTCATATTTATAACGTTTTTAACTTATTGCTCAATGATAACAACAAATAAATTAGTTACACTTAAAACGATATGGCATATTAAATACGATATAAACTTAATTCATGATTATTAACCATTCAAATAAATATAGGTAGGTACAAATAAATATTTAAAAATCTTGACAATTCTTTTTTCAAATGTAACAACAAAATTCTTGATAACTCTTTGATTCAAACTATCACATTCTCAATAAATCATAGTTATAAAATGCAACGGTAACAATTATTCTGTTTTTAATATTCCAAAATGGCAAACTTGACTCTTTGCCACTTTTTTGAAAGTTCCAAAGTAAACAAATGAGCTTGTTTATCGAACTTAAATGCCGAAAACTAAAACTATAAAACCCTATTTAGTGACTTCGTTTCTCATATAGGTACATACATTCCATAATTCTATAATGGAAGCACTAAGGAATTTTGTTTGCATTATAAAACTAAAACAATATTTACATTTTTTGTCCTATGCTCCAATAACAACTAAATTCAGCTATTACGACTACGTATAATTTTGATTAGCTCAACAGTTCGTAATTTCGTTATCTTAACTCTTACATTAAAACTAACAAGGTGATTGATGAGGGGCCATAACCATAACTTAAGACCAGTACAAATTGATACTTTAAACCGTTCGTTGCCGACCAAGTATGTTATCTGGAACATTTATCTTATTTTCACAACGTTCAACTGACGTATTGGTGTCAGAAAATCATCAGGTTTAAAGTTTGACAGTTAATAAAAAAAGTATCCTTACTCTATGACTATTGTCTATAGTGCGGAAACGGAACTACGAGACGCCATATCACAAAATATATATTTGCAGCGATAACAAATTTGAAAATTGACGCAAGGGGCAAGTTTTCACTCGGCCGGTGGATCAATAGAATGTCCATCAATCATTAGTGTGTTGCGATCAGTCTTTCCAGCCATTGATGAATAATTCATTCTTCATTCATCAGCCTTCGATCCTTTGCTGCGTTAATGATACATTATCTTGAAGCGTTCAAATCGAATTTTTGACGGTTCATCCGTGGCTGCTTACTTTTTCTTTGTCAATCATATCGTAATAGCTGTCTATGGAGTAGCCGAAGAGCCGGAAGTCGTCCCTGAAAAAAAAATATCTTTAATATATATACAAATTACAAATGGAAGAGGGAACATTCGAATTGCCTGGAAAGGCAAAGTTGAATAATTAATTATGAAGAACAATGAAGTGTGTAAACTAGATACCAGAAGTCCAGAGCACCAGACTGCGCAATTCTATTTTTACAACAATGCTCAGGTTCCAAAATACTTTTCAAGTTTTCAATGCACAAAGTAAAACAGCCCGTCAATATGTACTCGTACAATAATATGATAATGAAGCTACTTACTTATACAAATCGTAGAGGCCGTCTAGCTGGCGTCTGTTGAGCCTCGCGTACAGATTGCTGATGATATGCACGGTAGCTGTGTTGCCCTTCCCGCTATTCTTCCATTCAGGCTTCACAATGTCTTGGAGATGAGCCAACTGGATTAGGAACTTTTGGTCCTCCTGCCAAGTGAAATGAAAGCGTAAAAACTCAAAGCTAGTAAAGTTAGTAGAATGTAGTAGGAGAACATAATTAATAAAATTCCTATTCATATTTGAAGTAGATACGACATATTTATTAGTAATTAAAAAAAGTCACTGATGCATCTAGAATGATCGATGTTATATGGGATCAATTCAACCTGTTTTTATAAGTAAAGACTAATCTAAATTCTAATATTGTATTGCATTGTAGAACGCGTGAGGTAAAGATATTAAGTCAATACCTAGTTAATATTGGTACAATATCAAACAATTGCGAATTTAACAGGAAAATACACGGAAGTGGTAAACTTGGTTTTATAGATGAATCACTGCGTCCATCAGTGTCCATTATTGAAACAGAATTGGAAATGCGAAGCCCAACGGAAGCTCCGACCACATTGGGAAAGCGTGCGGTTAGGATCCACTCGTTAAAGTTTATTTATTACTCTCCCACTGACCACCACCTAGTTACCCATTTCACGCTCACTTAAAAACTTCGATTCTTATTCTTATGATTCCAAGAACATTCATCGTTCCATAAAAATATATTTCGCTTCAACAGCTTTGGATCGTTTTCCAAATTGATGTAGGTCACTTAAAATGCAGGCTTCTTGCCAAGATAATGAATATACTTCCAACTTTTATAGATTAGTGCCAAGTTGGAGATTTACGTATACCGTATAATGTAAGTAGGTTTGGTTGTGAGTCATTTTAATGCCAGATTCCGCCTACAGTTTTCCTCGCTATATCGATTTATAGTTAGGCCCTTTTTGGAAAAGTAGATAATAATTTTAGTTCCATACTTACATCTAGCGTCTCAAACTTGAGAATGACATCGAAATTGAACTTGCAGGGCGTGCAGAAAGTGGTGTACGGTGTCCAGTGCATGTCGAGAGACCTTTTCGCTTTCGCCTCGTCCAACACATACGATACAAACTCTTCGAAAACTGGATACTTCTCTGTCCGGGTCTTGTCTGCCGGCTACAAAAGTAAAAATTTAACTCGTCGAGTACCGGTTTTGTAGACACAATTATAGAACAATAGGTTGCGGTCACCGGTGACCGCTTGGTGTTTGACAGTTTAATAAGAAAGAGTTCAATATTCCATATGTCTAATGGGGGGTCAAAAATAGTGGCAAAATGTTTCTAAACAAGTGTTAAGGTTGTGGTAAAGAGACCCAATGTAAATCAATCCTACCTTTCTATATTTCTTAACAATCCTATGCCCAAGTTTATCATGGAAAGACTTGGGCCACGCGTGTACGATCTTATCGTTATACGCGGACGCTAATCTTTCCAAAGGATGTCGTACGATGAGGAATGTTATAGAATCTCCTTGGGCCTTCTTGATCATTTCTGCAGTTGGCCTCGCGTATTTTCTTCTAGCCAGTTGCAAGGGCACTTCTTTTGTTTTGTCTAAAAATGCTGCCGAATAGTTCGCCATTAAGTTGAAGTTGTACATCCATGAGGTGGAAGCTGCTTTGAATATGTTACACCTGGAATTAATTATAAAAAAAGACGCTTGAAGTTGATTGCTGGATAGAAAGATAGGTACGGTTAAATTAAGTAAGTTTTCTTTAAAGGTATTATTAGGTAATAGCGCCCTTCTACAATTAATTTTATGCGATGTGGTAATAATAGGGGTGAGAGACGAAAACAAATGACGCTTACACAAAGGGACAACAGTGAACAGCTAACGAATTCTGTTATATCAATACACAAACAAAAAATAAAGAAAGAAATCTCACCATATAACATGATATTGTCTATTTATAAGATACTCCCAGGCATTCGACTTATGACTGGAAGTGTCGAGCCCAAGTCTGCTGCATTCTGTCTTCAAGAATTCACGTCGGGCTTCCATCCTCGAATTCACTTCCATAAATTTCTCCCTTGTCAATAGACCATCTTCCCTTGACCCATTCTCGAAGATATACTGTAACAAAATATTTAAATTATTTTATAAGTACTGGAAGAGTTGAAGTAATCGATATAAGTGGCACTAAAAAATGTCGTGGTGGCTCGGAGGTTTAAGACACCCTCTTCTCATGCATGAGGATGCGGGTTCGAAACCAACCAACGGCTATTACCAATGTGACTTTTTCCGTGTTATAAGTACTTTTTAAGATCTAGACACCACTGACAAACGGTGAAGGAAAATATCGTGAGGAAACCTGGGCTTATAATTTATAATTATAAGTTTGTTATCAACAACCCGCATTGAGCAAGCGTGGTGGTTAATGCTCAAACCTTCGTGTGAGAAGAGGCTTTGCACAGCAGTGGGCACTTATAGGCTGTTGATGATATGATGATAATGATGTTGGCGCGTGTACTTTTATAGGCCCATATCTAGTGGTGGACAGAATGATAATGGTATTAAGAGCTGAATTGAATTGTTTTAATAATAAAGCTATTCCTAAACAAGACTGTGCAATATGATCATTGGGGGTATTCAACATCCGCTTAAAAATACATCTGACACATTGTACATGAATTGTGTACCTACTTACACAATTATCCGGATTTTTATTTTATAACCGCAATAATTATGTACAGCGTATCTAACCATCATTTATCTAACCATGATTTTTAATTATATCCGGTAAGGCATTGAAATCATTAAAGTAAGGTATTATTATGCATTGTTGGCAAAAATCCGTAACATAAGATGAAAAATTGATTTCATTACTTACATTATTTTATATTAATAAATTTATTAAAACTTATTCATGATTCATACTGGAATTTTCTCATAAATATTCCTATGTTTAATGATCCAGGATTTCTAAGTTTATTTCATGTCACATAGCGGTTTGAAGGTGATCAGAACCGGGCCAGGAGCACTAGGTAATCTAGAAAAACGTGTTGTCAATACCTATGTAGATAGGAGGTACCTAAGTAACTGTATTTCTTCCATATTCGTTATTGATGTTTACTTATTAAGTCTTGCTGGATTGTCTAGGCGATCTAGGGCTGAGGTAGTGAGAAAAATGTACCTATGGCTTTTCGAAATAGATTTTTTTTCGTCGAAGAAAAAAAAAACACTGAAACAGCAGTTTGGTTTCGTCGATTCGTATTTTTTTCTCGTATTTTTTATAGTTTGTTTTAGAAGAAATTGTAGTAAAAGTAGGTACGGCTTATTTTATTATATAGGTATAATAGTAGGTAAGTTTCCATGTCCTTATTTCAGTTTATGTAGAAAAATGAAAACTTCCTAGGCATTAGCAAAGGGAATATATATTTCTTGTTAAAATATTAAAACGGCTTCTTCTAGTAATTAAATTATTTATACTTCACTGCGAGGTTGGCTGGAGTGCAAATATTCACGTTAGACAAATTTCAGTTTTCCATGCATTTCATACAAAAATATGAAATTGTTTCCTTTTTGTTTCACCCTCCTTTATAAATATATTCGAATACTTGATAATAGTTGATAAGTTCAATTAAATCGTAGGCAAAACTAATTGACTGATGAAAAAGCATTCCAGAATTATATTTACAAATAGGGGTTGAAGAGACACATTAGTACAATAGGGTAGATACCTAATTTTTATTTTAATGTCCGTCTGGTAGATTATTTTAAATCATTATACACGTATTTTTTATTTTCTTACAGAAACTGATACTTTCGACGATATATTGATTTGAAATGTCGCGCGACGTTACTTCTATGTACATTTTATACGTAGAAATGACGTCTTAAACTGTCAAACACCAAGCGGTCACCGGTGACCGCAACCTATTGTTCTATAATTGTGTCTACAAAACCGGTACTCGACGAGTTAAATGACAAATTATGGTTTAGTTGGGTACTTTCCTTGATAAAAATAAATTAATTACACTGTTAAATACAACAGCATATTATACAGCAGCATACCATTTAAAAAAAAAATAAGTGTGCTGTTTGACGCTAAAAAAGTGACGTCACAATACACAATCTCGTACAAAATTCATAGAAAATTTTCGTTTTTGACAGTTCGAAAAAAGTATTGAATTTGACTAGTTGGCAAGTAACCAATTGAAATAGATGATTTTGAGTTTTACTTTGTTTGAGTTCATTTCATCAAGCTACGACCAATAGGAGCTGAGTAGTGGGTAAAACTGCGGGAAAATCTACTAACATCATATTAAGTACACGAAGGTATATAATAAGGCCTATATAAGTTAGTCCCTTAATTGCCCAAGCACTTACCTGTATTTTACGATCTCGAGAATATTTATTGCAAAGTTGTATGAAATGGCAGAGTCGTAATAAATATTCTTAATTGCTGAGTAAGTGCGGAGTGAACCAAGACATTCCGTGATGGATAACCGACGCTTAATTAAACAAATATCTCAGATTGAGTGCTCACAACACTTTTATTTTATTAGGAACTTCTTGATGGCACTTAATGGTAGGTATATAAGGGTTATTTTATTTTGGCATTTTGAGATCGCATCTCTCATGTTATTCTTACAAATGTAGGTAGGTATTTTAGTATGGTTGTGAGTAAATAAGATTATAAAAAATGTAATGATTTTACTTACTCAGAATATATTATGTCTATGTTTTTATAATAACTATCTTGAGACATAATTAACTAAAAATCGCGGGTTACTCAAGTGAATATACTGAGAAAATCTCAACTAGTTTCGAACCACAGAGGGTTTCTTCCTCATGAGCAGCGTGCGCGGTCGCGGCAATGTCGCGCAGCCTACTCCTACTAGTAGAGCTTTTTTCAGTACCTAGATTCACGTGAGTAACCCGCGATTTTTAGTTAAATTATGTCTATTTTGCACTTTGTTTTTAGTTTATCAGTGTACAACGAAATATCTTTTGAAAGCTGTTAATTTTCAAGACAAAATTTGAATGAAATATGAAAACAATCGACAGCAATTTATGAATTTAGAATCCTCCCCCTCCCATCATACAATTGGTATATAAATATTCAACTTCGTATTTTTTTTATTTTTTACATCAATTAGATTATTTAAAAAAATGTGTTCTTACCATAAGTTCTCAATATGTTAGTAAAATAATTTCCACCACTACCTACAGAGATTAATTAAGTATGACAGAAAGGAATTTTCCCATACTTAAACGTTTAGTTGTCTATCAAGCTCAACGTTTTATTATCAGACTTGTAAAGGAAAATGGCGGTCATAAAACTGAATAGACAACAGTCAACTATTGTGGCAAGTCCTTATATTCAGACATTCAGCCTTCGTCCCTTTATATGTTTTATACCTTACAAGCCTTTAGATAATAGCCCTTTGAGACAGTTTTATTGGCGTAGTGACAGATGGCGTTAGGGAGCTAAATCTTTTGGCCAGAGAGTAGAGTTAAGCTTGATTTGTGTTTATTACTCTGTTCCCGTGTCAACGCAGGAGTTCGTTACAAGTACGTGTTATTGTGTTTTATTTATTTTATATTGTTATCGCGATGTCGAAGCGAAATGTTCATTCGCCCCTTTATTTTTTATTTTATTAATGCGAAATTATTTTATTAAATGGAAACTTGTCTATTTTTGAACCAAACTATATTTACTGTTTCAATGCGTCGAATGTTCAATCGACTACTAACAATCAACAATTAATTTACTAGAATAATTTAAACTAATTGTATTGTCGTATCTAAGGCACTTTATTCAGACCGTAGAATACTCATATATTATTATGTTTTCGGCTTACTCACGTAATTATTTGACGAGGAACTCGACTAGTTTCAAGCCATGCTAGAAGCTCATATTCATGAGCTGCATTACGCGACCCGCGACGCGGTGACAGCAGCGCGACAGTCAGACATATATTTCGTATGTCTCACGAAAGTTATAAGACAAATGTAAAACTCAGTTCAATTTAAACAAATTACACAAGACTAATAAGAAAATTAGTAAGAAAATGTAACTATAATTTTAACAGTTATCGCTATGCAAAGATAATTTTCTTCACACTGTACACACGGAAAAGAAACGAACCCGCTATGTACCTACTGCCCGTATCTAATTATGTATTACGTTAAAGTCTTTATTGTGAGAACTAATTGTTTTATAACTGGCAACTCTGAAGACAAAAATATAAATTTAAAGTAACAGGATAGATTTAACTCGTCGAGTACCGGTTTTGTAGACACAATTATAGAACAATAGGTTGCGGTCACCGGTGACCGCTTGGTGTTTGACAGTTTAAAGACAGAAGTCTCAGGAATGTGTTTGGTACCTATTGTCGAAGAAAAAATGGGGAACATAGTCTCGAACAACGGAAAAATCACAGCAAAGCCGGGGCGAACGACTAGAAAAAGATACCTACATTTTACTGCTTCTTTTTCAAATCAACGGAATCATATTGAGAACTATTCGCTAGTATATATTAAAACTTTCGTGAGACATCTCTCTCGAGTCAGTCCCAACACAAGTATTGTATAATAACTTACTGGGACTGCCTCAATGTTAGACAGATAGTGTAATTCTTAAGATAATAAAGAATTTTGAATTTGAATTTGAGACATACTACCTAATTAATTATTATGTTTTCGGCTTACTCACGTAACTGTTCGACGAGGAACTCGACTAGTTTCAAGCCATTCTAGAGGCTTATATTCATGAGCAGCATTCCGCGACCCGCAACAGTAGCAGCGCGACAGTTCGCCGCGTCGGTAAGTAAGCCTATATAATAATTAATTATCACTACATAGTATGAAACAAAGTCGCTTTCCGCCATGTGTCTGTCCCTATGTTTGCTTAGATCTTTAAAACTACGCAACGGATTTTGATAGATAGAGGGATTCTTAAGAAAGGGGTATATGTATAGATAATATAGCTATTGCACCCGTGCGAAGCCAGGGCGGGTCGCTAGTAGACTATAAATTGTTATACAAATATTCGATTTTCATTATTAAAATTAAATGAGTTAGCTACCAACGCTTTTCGACACGGTATGACTGCCATTAATTAATGT